TTTGTATCTCCGGTGTCGGTTCGGCACAGTAGTATCAAAGTAGTATTAGGTATCAAAGCGAATGCTAGTCAAAGATCTTGTTGTTGGAGCCACCTGGTTTCATAGTTGAAGAGGGCACTTGCTTGATGAATGTATTGTTTTGGGACACTAGAACTTTGGTCAAATAGTCCGTTGTAAGGTCGTTTTCAGGCAGACACAGAGAGCATCTCATAAGGGGGTTTTTCGGGTGAATTGGTTTCAATATCTAGGTTGGGAAGAAGCGTTTAGCTAAATCACAGAGCAATGACACAGATGATTTTCCATTCACTAAAATTAGGACTCTATTATTGTCAATTTTTGTGTCGCTTAATTCAGTTTCAGGTGAGATGAGTTGGTCTACAAGAAATGCGACGTGGTGTAAAGTGTTTTGATTATTTAGAGGGGGCACAATTGCCATCAAGGGTAGTGAAAATTACTCCATAGTCAGTACGGACACCGTACAGACCCAGGACAGTCTAGATGCTTTGAGTTCGAGGGAAAGTTCAGCTGATAGGTTAGTTTGATGTTGCATTTTGGACGAGAGTTTGGGGAAAAAGTGGTTGTTTGGTTTTCCTGGGAATCAACTAGTTCGAAGAGCAGAACGAGAATGAGTAAAATAGCAACATTTTAGATCAGAATATATACTGTTCAAAGTTGTTAAGAGTGAAAGTAACGAAACTTTGTAGTTAGTAAGTAGTCTGGTACGGTATAGTCTTAATCTGCAAAACGAACAATGTTTAGGCTCCAAGTTGCAAGCCTTTTCTTGAGCTAATTACACCAACTTTTAGACAATATGCTTTCTCGCTAACTAAAGAATTCAATTCAAAATTAATTGTTTGATGCTAAAGCATCAAGTCTTTACGCTTTTATAAACGTTATCAAACAATTTCAATTAGATCAATATACTGATCTCGCTCATGTTGACTGAAAATATTAATCAACATGAATTTCAATACAAAACTGTGTATCATAATCAAATATCTTTAATTTAATTTCTGTACCAGGATGATGAAGAGAATCTTCACCAGTATCTATAACTTTTGTTGATCATTATTAGAACGAAATACCTATTGAAGTCGATAAACTTTAGTTTGAAAGATTATTACGAAGCAATCGAAGCTAATAGTCCAATGTTAATGGTAATGTCGATAATTTACATTGTTTAAAATACCGTTCAATGAAAGTTTGAATATCGTTCAATTTGCCTTGCGAAAACTCATTTAAGGTATAAATATCGACTTTGAACAAACAACATCAAACAAACAAACAAAAATTCAACACAAAGATTGTGAATTGTCATTAGACTTGTTGGGAAAAAAATTACAATCACAGTTATTTGATGGTGAATTTGCATTGATAAGAAGATGAAAACCGAAATGAGGCCATTTTTGGATATCTCAATAAAATACATAATTAACAGTATACATTGACAAGCAATAAAAATCTATTTCCAGATCAGTTGATACAAGCACAAAAAAGATTGAATTTAAATTATCATTAATAACATGCTTTGTGTTGATGGTCAAATAACAGCTTCACGCTGAGTTTGGAATCTAAAGTGAATGAGTTTGCTTTAGAGCAATGTAATTGTAGATGAAAATGATAATTAAGTTGACACAATCAGGAATTATTCATGATTGGTGCAAGTTTTTGCTTGAAAAAGCCTTTCCGCCAGGCAAGCTTAATAGCTACAATCAACACCTGTGCAACCTCCATTCTTGACTATCACCGTCTTGATTAAGACTCATAAAAAGTCCCTAATATTTCCATTATCGACTGTTAAGTGTTCAATCGACATTATTGGTAATAGCAATGCTCAACTAATCAATGAAGAGTTGAATCAAGTGAAAGTGTTTGAGCAACGAGTCCGACTTTTGAGTGATTTTTGATTGTGAAGGAAATTAGTTTGCACTTTGGTTGATTGTTTGATTAGTGATGATGATTTACGGTGAACCATGATCATAATTGGTAAGTTCAGTTTCAGTATACAGCAAAGAGTAACAAGAGACTGCACGAGAAGGTAGAGGGTCCCGAAAAAGATAATGGGCAGTTTTGGATGTCCCATAGACGGGGGCATGGCTTCATTATACTAATGTTGCCATTAATTACTATCTGCGATGAGTCCAGTTTTAAGTCAGGTCACATTAAGGATATAAAAAGGTTTACCATGAAAAAGCAGGCTATTCAAGGTATCAGGTTAATTG